AGACATCCCATGTAGGTCTGAGTCTCTTACTCTCTGCACATTGTCCAATTATGAGTCCCTATGTCAGTTTCCATCTACTATGAAAAGAAGCTTCTCCAGTGATAGCTGAGCAAGGCACTGATTTTTGGGTATAGAAGAATGTCATTAGGAGTCATTTTACTGCTGTATTCCTATAGCAGAGCAGTAGTATTTGGTTCTGCCGTAGGCCGTGAACTGTCTAGTATCAGGTTCTCAGCTACCTTAACAGAGTCAGGGATGGCTTCCATCTCATAGAGTGAGCCTTAAATCCTACCAGAAAGTGGTTGGTTACTCCTATAACATTCGTACCACTATTGTACCAATATAATTTGTAAGTGTCTGTTGTAGGTTGCAGGGATTATAGCTAAGAGATACCTTTCTCCTCTGGTAGCATACAGAGGACTCTGCAATACGCTGAAACGTCTAATTGGACAACAGCTCAACTTCTCCATGTTTGATACTATATATAGTGTTCTCTTCAGTAACAGGACCTTAACTTTGGGTTGTGGAGAGCAACCAATAACCTTGACAACACCCTGAGATGTTTGGAGTTTCCATGGTGCCCCTTTGGCCCATTCAGCAAGTTGTTACTCATTCTTGGCACTGGAGGTTTGAAAACTTGGCAGCATAAGATGTCTAGTTGGGACACTGTCAGAGGCTATTATCTGGTAACTCATTTAGATTCCTTTTATGTATTAGTATATTTAGTTGTCCCTCCCTATATTCCTTCCTTTATCTTTCTCTTTTATCCCCTTCCCTACTTAATCCCTCTATCCTAGTTTCCTCTTTGTCTCTACATAATACTGTGTTCTATTTCCTCTTCTAGGAAATGATTTCACAGACAGGTATCCCAAGAGCTAATCCAGGGACTTGAGCACAAATACCCTGCCCCAGCCTATGAGTCCAGATCTGTAGGTCCCAGTGTGTTTTAGGCACAAATTTAGCAGCAAACTAAAGTCATAGTGTCACTGCTGCTTCCTACATAGAGCCAGACTCCCGCCTCCTGAGCAGTTGGTCGTAGAGCAGATGTTCTCCAGTTTCCCCAGGGTTCCTTTTTCTTGCCCAGGCTTTCATTTGTTTGGTTTCCTTAGGACTGGGTGTGGTTGAGTAGTAAAGTACTTACTTTGCATTCTGGTGGCCCTGGGCTCCATCTCCATCACCAACCTAAGAAAGAAAAGTACATTCCTTGTTCTTGTCACTTAGCTCTCTTGCCAACCTAGTCATTAGCAAATTATACCCAATAATGGATTTCCTGGTGACATTTTCATATGTGAATGTACTTTTTATAGTTGTCATTGACTACCCTTTTTTTTGTCCCATTCTCTGTGATTGCCTTCCTCTTCCTAACTGTTGCCCTCTGCCTTCTGTGTGTGTTATTTACAGGATCCTGGACACTTGAGCAGTAGCTACACCACTGACAAAAACATTTCTCCTTTCCTCAGCAACTGTTAACCACATTTAGATACTTGCTAACTGGAAGAAAGCATTCCATAAGCACATCACTCCTTCCTCCAGTGCATACCTTTTTTTGTCCCTCTTCACAGAGTTCCCTGAGCATTGGAGGGATGAGATAAATGTATTGTCTTTTCTTCCCTTTAGGAGTCAACATTGGCAGTCGTGTTGAGCTACAGAAGAGACGTTTCTAAGCTTTTTTATTGCTGCTGTTCTGGGTCTGGGTGCAGCGGTCTGTGGGCCCTGACAGCCTGGAGCGGGAATGAAGACTGTGCTCATGGTAGCAGAAAAGCCATCCCTGGCACAGTCCATTGCCAAAATCCTCTCCCGAGGTAGGAAAAAGCAAACACTAGGTTGTTTGATTGGGTTCATCTGTAAGCACAGTCTTCTGTGCTTTTTTGGTCATTTATTTTTCCAAAGTGTGCCTGCAGAGCTGGTGGGTTCATCTGGGATTGGCAGGTTTCAGGAAGCACCGTAGTAGCAAATCTCCTGTGACATGCTGTGTCCACATGTGGAAGTACCAGGGCTGAAGCCTCCAGGAAAAGCAATGACATAGAAAGTGCAGTGGTTGTCAGCATGCTGGTCCAGTTAGGAGCATTGGTCATAAACACAAGAAATTATCCTGGAAGGAGGTAGATGAGGCTAAGTCTTAGGTCTTGCACCACTAGATACTCACTACTGCCAGCTGGGCCCTGGATGTGGTTACAGGTTCATTCCCCATATCTCACAAGTGGCCAGTGACCTGAGAGCCTGGAAGGTAGAGGAAGATTTGTCCATCAGGATTCACTCTGCCACTGAAGTAGTGCATGAAGGGAGGGGCCCCTATAAATAGAAAGAGTACTTAGATGTTGGGTGACTGTCCAGCAATGGCAGACATCCACCTTGACCCCCATTTACCAGCACTCAGAGGAGGAAGAGCCTCCAGTTAAGCTGAGAATGCACACTCCAGAGGTCCAGAGGGATCCAGAAGGCATCATCTCATTTCCAAGTACCAAGAATGTTCAGCTAAGGAACCATAGTATAGGATATAATAACCTTAAAATCTAAATAAATGAAGGTAGAATTCAGATTGAAAAAGAAAGCAGAAATGTAGTGAGACCCCAAGAGTTTCTACCTCTAGTTCCCAGCCAGAATGGGATTGATGTGAGTTTCTTCTGTCCCTCAGCATTAAGTCACTGAGTACCTGGTTATCTGTAAGGGAGCTAAGGAACGTTACCAATGGGCACTCTGGAGAAGGAGAACTCTTGTCCCCTGAGAGTCAGCATGTAGGCTCAGGGACCCACAGCATCTACAGGTCAGCCTCACAGTTGTCTGTGTGGTTTGCCTCCCTAGGAAACATGTCCTCACACAAAGGGCTGAATGGGGCATGTTCAGTGCACAAGTACACAGGAACCTTTGCTGGCCAACCTGTCCACTTCAAGATGACATCTGTCTGTGGTCATGTGATGACACTGGATTTTCTGGGTAAGATGACCACTCTCTTCCTGTCTCTGTCCTATTGAAAGGAACATCCAGTTAGAACCTGTTCCCAACAGATCATGAAGTGGTTAACAGTTGGGTAAGGTACCCATCCCCATCCCTGCATAATGACCCTACCATATTTCTAGTTGAGACAACTGCAGAGGCAGAGCTTTTGTGAACTGTGAAGTGTGACTAAGTGTCTTTGGATATGGTTTACAGGAAAGTACAACAAGTGGGATAAGGTGGATCCTGCAGAGCTCTTCAGCCAAGCTCCAACGGAGAAAAAGGAAGCTAACCCCAAGCTGAACATGGTCAAGTTCCTGCAGGTAAGGGAGGGTGTACAAGCCCACCAAGGAGGCTCCTCCCAACTCCCCATATCATAGGTGGCCACAGCTGTCTTTGCCCTCATCCACATCTTGAACATCAAGGCTCTGGCCGGTAGCCATAGACCCATCTTTCTGCTGTTTCTATAAGTACTCTGCTGGCCATTTTTGTGCCTGGTTACCAATCCCAGACACTCTTGACACCAGTTCTGGAAAGCAGAGACATTCTGCTTTTATAATGACTCAATTAAGGGTTTCTCTTAATTTTAAAATAAATATGTACATCTTAATTTTTAAAAACTGGAAAATAAAGATAAGTTTAAAGGAAAAACAGTATAGCCACATGACCCAAAAGAAGCACTGTTAATACTGAACTTTGATTTCAGCTCTTGATGCTTAGGTCAGGGCGTTAAGGTCATAAGGAGAGGAGGAGGCCAGTGAGAGTAGATGAGGACAAGAGAAAATGATGGGGTTGAATATACTCAAAGTATATTATGTACATGTTTGAAAGTATTAAAAATAAAGCCTTCAGTAAATCCACTTTAATCTTTTATTTCCCTCTGGAAATTATGGAGCACACACTGTATTTTGTAACTACATACTAAAAGTAAAAACATTTATTCTAGGGGTTAGAGAGATGGCTAAGTGGGTAAGAGCACTTGCTGCACAAATATAAGAACCTGAGTTTGGATCCCAGCACCCATGCTCAGTGCTGTGGAGGGCAGAGGCAGGAGAATTGCTGAGGCTTGCTGGCCAACCATGTGCCTCCAGGTTCAGTGAGAAAGCGTGTCTTAAGTGGATAAGACAGAGACTGGTAGAGCGAGGTACCCGACAGTGTCCTCTGGCCTCTGCTCCACAGGCTTATGCACACCCATACACCTGCAGATGCACCACACCACGTGCAGAAGGATAGACATATTGTAATTACAGTGGTTTTGATCTAACAGTATGATAGTTCTGAACCAAAACCTTTTGTGAATCTGAGACAGCCTTACTGTAGACAGCTTCTTGCTCAGCTCCATATACTGGTTCTATTTCCTGTCCCCAGAGGGGAATGTCACAGGGATGATTGTCATGTGTGGCAGGTGGAGGGCAGAGGCTGTGACTATGTCGTGCTGTGGCTGGACTGTGACAAGGAAGGCGAGAATATTTGCTTTGAGGTAAGTGTGAAGTCCTTTCTGGTTCCCTTAGACCTTCCCAATTGGAGTTTGTCATATTATTCTTAAGGTTAGCATAGGGAGTATAGGGCTCAAAAAACATCTTCTACCACCCCCTCAATTTCAGAAAATCTGTAGCTTCTTTAAATGTATAGACCTAGAGCTGGAGAAACAGCTCAGTGGTTAAGAGCAGTTATTACTCTTACAAAGGACACAGTTTTACAACCATCTGTAACTTCCTCTGAGGGCACCAAGCATGCACATTGGGCACATACAGACAGACCAAACACTCATACACATGACGGGAAATAAATGAAGAATGCATAAACTAGGGCCCACAAGATGGCTCTACAAGTGGAGGTGCTTCCCACTAAGTCTGATACCCTGAGTTTAATCCCCAAAGCCCCACATGGTAGGAGAAAGCCAACTCGTGAATGTTGTCCTCTGACCTCTAACTCACACCATGGCACATGACACACAGAGACCAGTTAGTAGTCACCATAGTAGTAGGTTTTTTAAACACTGTTCTGGGTGGGTGCAAGTTTCAGAAGTTTTGCTTAGCTCCATGCCTGTTGTAGACTTTCAGTTACTATAGTCAGTCTCACTCTGCTAATATTTATGAGTACTTTGTCTGTGTGTATGTATTTTACTGTGTACATGCCTGGTGTCCTCAGGTCAAAAGGGCATCAGATTTCCCAGACCTGGAGTTACACATAGTTTTAAACCTGAGTCCTTTGCAAAAGCAACAGATGCTCTTAACCACTGAGCCATCTCTCTAGTCCCTGGTCTCTTCTCCCACCTTCATGTGTCCTCTGCCATATCCATCCTAGGGATTCCTGCCTGCTGGTGGAGGTTTCCCATTTGTCCTCTAGTAGTACTTTAATGCTACTGGCTATGCCTGCTGGTCCTGCCACTGCCCATGGTACTGTGGCTCCATACAGGTCACCTCTATGTCCTTATACCCCAGCCATAACCTGCAACTTGTCACACTTAAGTGCAGGAGATGGCTCTAGTAAGACAGGCATTCAGGGCACCCAGAATTGTCACTCAGCTCTCTTAACAAAGTCAATTCCATACTGTCCCTCCTCAGATACTCTCATGTCCCCTTTCTCTGTTCTATCTGACAGGGATGTCCCCTCAGAAGGCCTTTGCCTCTGGGTCTAGAAACAATAGCAGCTCACAGGGCAGGTGCTTTCCCATAATGTTGCACTGCATGCCCTAGCTTCTCTGCTCCTCCCCTGCGTAGCCTTAGTGAGTCTTCATTCCAGGGCCTTCTATACCTAGCTCCCATCTCCATACAAAGCCTGGTGTAGCCTTCCCATTCTTAGTCATTTTATCTTTTCCTTTGTCTGTTCTCCAATCGTGTGAAAATTCTACCTATCTATCCAAGCACTCCCTACTCCCAGAAAAGGGGAGGGATTTGGCACCATGAAGTCCTTTGTGTACTGGGTACAGCATTCTCTTGCTATTGGAGATGAAAGTGCACGAGAAAGGTAAGGGTAGAAAACCTTGAGGCAACACTAAGAGGAAATGGGCTGAGGAGTGGGTGTATATCTGGAAGTAAGTGCAACCAGCAAGGCAGCCAGGTGGCAAGGGATTTCTAGAGTCTAAGATGTCTCGAAGGGAAAGGGGAAATAGGAGGGCCTAGTGGGTGGGAGAAGGTTAACCCTGGAAGGCCCACCCAGAGTTGGGTAAAGAGGGAAAGGGAGGGACAAGGAACTAACCGCAGCAGTATCCTTCCTCCCAGGTCCTTGATGCCGTTCTTCCTGTCATGAATAATGCCCACAATGGTGAGAAGACAGTGTTCCGGGCCAGGTTCAGTTCCATCACTGACACAGACATCTGCAGTGCCATGACCCGCCTGAGTGAGCCAGACCACAATGAGGCACTCTCGGTGGATGCCCGCCAGGAGCTAGACCTGCGCATTGGCTGTGCATTCACTAGGTGCTGGTCCCTGCCACATGCATATCCTCTCCTTTTAGCCAGGATACTGCCTTTCCCAGTGCCCTAAGAGCCTGCATAAGCTCTTAGAGATGCCATTTTTTTTAAACCTGAAGAAAATTGTATATATTTATCAGATGCACATCACATAGGCCACAACTTCCTAGGCAGATTATTTGTATGCACTTGTGTCCTGGGGCACAGTGTTTATGGGACATACTCTGTCATCACTCCATCCTGTACACACATAGAGTTCTTCTTTCATGGCTTCATACTTTGTCACTTTTGCTGTCTTCAAAGTGAGGAGCAGCCTCTTTGTGTGACCTCTCAGTATATAACCCCCAAATCCACAGGCTAGGTTTACATAGGCTTTGTCTAGAATTAATTATTAATCCATTTTTCTGTCTTTCTCAACCCTCTAGGTTTCAAACAAAGTATTTCCAGGGAAAATATGGTGATTTAGACAGCTCTCTCATCTCCTTTGGGCCATGTCAGACTCCTACCCTGGGATTCTGTGTAGAGAGACATGATAAAATCCAGTCCTTCAAACCAGAGACCTACTGGGTACTTCAGGCCAAGGTTCTCTTCCCTTCCATATTCCTGTTTTGTTGTTGTGGGTTTGGGGTGTGGACTGGTTGACAGTTCTCTTCATCATCATGAGCACCTTGTTGGTCCCAGGCTAAGAACACAAGTGTGAGTTGTAGTTCCAACAGTTGTAGGTCCTGGTGCCCAGGAGATGGAATCACCAGCTTTCTCAGGGCAGTGAAGCTGGGCTGCACCTGGACACACTGAATTTGAATAAGTAGGAGTGAGCTCCCTCTTGGGGTGAAGATGAGGGGAGCCATCGGGCCAATGTCTTCAATGAGGAAGTCCAGCACAGGGTTAAGACTCTGCTTTCAAACCTTACTGGTATTTGGGGCTTTTTTGTTGTTGTTGTTTAAACATAAAAACCTCCTAAAGTACAACAGGTTTAAAACATAGTACAGAGTCCCTCTGGTTGCCTCCAAGGCTAAGGACTGCGTGGGCATGGGAAGGTGCTGTGGGTTTGGAGGCCTTGATAAACAGGGACGGGGTGAGAAGCACAGCTTCAGGTATTCCTTAAGGGCCCACCCTCAGTGTCTGCTCCGGAGTGAAGAGAGTCGGGTATCAGCTTTGGATCCACAGCTCCACAGTTATGAGATGTTACAGCAAGGCCATTTTATCTGTGGACCAAAGCCAACATCGTCTGTCTCAGTTTTCTTCCCTGCAGTGTGCTTGCCTTTCGTCTGTCCTACAGGTTCATCCTGATAAAGAGGAGTCACTCCTTCTGGACTGGGACCGTGTTAGAGTTTTCGACCGGGAGATTGCGCAGATGTTTTTAAACATGACAAAGCTAGAAAAAGAAGCTTGGGTATGCTTTCTATGTCCCGTCTGTCTCATCTGTCCTGGATGGGCATGCCGTAGACTGGGCCATGCCTTTCTGCTTTTTATGAAACTCAAATGGCTTCTTGGACAGATGAATGGTTCTCACACATTCATTCTTAACATACTTTTACAGTGCAGCATCTGTGAAGCACTGCCTCATGCTCACCACACTGGAGCCAGGCCATTTCCATTGGCTCTTCTAACACTCAGGTGCAGGATCTCCTTTGGTAGAACTCCATTTCATACAAATGTTTCTTTTCTATAATATCCAAAGCTACCAGCTGCAGAAGAACCTGCAGGCACATTGGTAAACTTGCCTGAGTTCATACAGTTAGAATATACGTCTAAGATCCCACACTCAGTCAACTTTCACACTTCAGTGGTGGTATTTCCCACTCAGGACTTCTCTGAATTAGAGGGGCTCCTGCTTGGTGCTTAGGAAGATGGTCAACTTAGCAAAGCCTGGCTGCACAGGATAGAAGCAGGTCTATATCCATCACAGCCAGGATCCTACAGCTATGACAGCTAACCATCATTGAGCCTCTTCTTGTCCTTCAGTCACATCTATTTGCAGTTTTCAAACCTTGCTTTGGTGCCATTTTACTCAGGCTCTGCTGACTTACATGTGAGGCTGTTTCACATTGGTAACTCTGATGTCAGGACTCACCCCAAGGGACCCTAACCTCCTGTGTCACATGTATACAAATATCCCCAGTGTCAGCACCCATATTTGCTGGCCTGGAATCCAGAATGTTGCCCTGACCAGTCTTTATGAGTTTAGTAAAGGAAGAGACTAGCTGGTTGTTTGGGTTATTTTTGCAATAGGCAAAACAAAGAGTCAACTTCTCTGTAAGTATGCTAACCCACAGTGGGAGTCACCTGACATGCACAGCCTATAGATAAATTCAAATGACTACCATTGGGGAATTGTGAGATTTCACATAGATATCATACCTTGCAGCTTCCCTTAAAAATAGGAAAGCTTTACAATGCTAGTGACCCAGTGGGCAGCACTCACAAAAGGCCACCAGCAGCCATTTCCCTCACACAGCACGCAGGCCACCCTGGGGCTTGGCCTGTGTTGACTTCTGTGGGATTTACATCTACAGTCCCTTCCACCGTTCTTCTCTAGTCCTCCACATTTTCTGTTTCCTTCAAGAAAATAGAGGATGCATGTGCTCTCTCCCACCCCCACCCCCCACTTTCCTAATCCTAAATACTCAGCTCAGATATCAGACTGCTGGAGAAAGTGAATTTCAGGAGGGCAACCAATGAATTAATTCAGACCTTTGTTCACACGTTCCACCTCTGTTACCTTTATCTTGCCAAATGTCACTCCATCTGTCCTGCCCCCAGGTGGAGGCTACAAGCAGGAAAGAAAAAGCCAAGCAGAGACCACTTGCTCTGAACACTGTGGAGATGTTACGTGTGGCCAGCTCAGCTCTGGGTATGTATAGAAACACATCTCTAAAGCACCCCTAAAGACATCTTGAGGCTGGTACAGGGCAGGGCCAATATTGTAACCCGTACCAAGCCCTTCTCATGCTGTGAAGCTTGAAGCCTTGGGGTGGAGGTCTTGAGTCTCACTTGAGTTTTCTTTAAATCATAGAGTAAGACTCCTCTAACGACTGCTTCCTTACCTATCACAAGAGATAGTCTGAAAAACTGGTGATCTTTGAAAGCTGTATCCTAAAGCATTCTCCTCACAGAGCTAGCTAGTCCTTGATACAGCAATGCCATCAAATGATCAGTAGCCAAATGCCAACTCACAGGTTAGAGAGCAAGAGGACAAGTTCTCTTGCAGTGTAGAGTCCTAATAGGCTCAACTACCCAAAAGTCTAGTTGCTGTTCCATGGCCAGAGTTCAGACTGTCATCAGTGCCTCCATGAGTACTGTAAAGTGGAACCGTGGAGCGATGAGCAGTGTTTCCCACTGGGCCCACCTTTCCAGGAAAGTTTGGAAACTTGTGTTCCAGATACCCATCCAGCCAGTACCTCTGAGCCTTGGCAATAGCCACTAAGAGTTATCTATATGGTTAAACGAGAATGCCCAAGCCTATGAGTGAGCCCTAGACACCTTCCAGACCCCTTAGCCTCCTATTTTCGGCAGGTATGGGACCACAGCATGCCATGCAAATAGCTGAGAGATTATACACACAGGGATACATCAGCTACCCACGGACAGAAACCACCCACTATCCTGAGAACTTTGACCTGAAGGGCTCTTTGCGACAGCAGGCCAATCACCCATACTGGGCAGACTCGGTGAGCAGAATAGTCCTTGCCCTGAACAACCCATCAGCTATGGCTCCTAGACAGGCTTTGGCCAAACCCAAGACTGATGGGAAGCCATCAGCCTGACTTGACTCTGCTTTGCCTCCCCTCCCTCAGGTAAAGCAGTTGTTAGCGGAAGGCATCAACCGCCCTCGGAAAGGTCATGATGCTGGTGACCATCCTCCAATCACACCTATGAAGTCAGCAACAGAGGCTGAATTAGGTACTGAGTGCTCCTCTCCCCAGCATCCTCACACTCCTCAAGCTTCCAGGCTGTGAGGTGAAGCTGCTACAGGTACATGGCTCTAGTGGACAAGGTCACACTCGTTAGGAGTGCAGCTGCTCCTGAGCCTCCCACTGGCTTAGTGAGACTTCCTCACCAAGCATCTGAGACACAGTGAAGTGCCTACAGATGGTTGGGGAGAGGGAGAATACAGATAGCCTTGGTGTTGGGGGATGAGGCAGAGGCTATCTGTACCTCCTACCTAAGGTGTTCCACAAGGCCCATAGAGAAGGGAGAGCCATGCCAGTGGAACCAGGAACTGCTGCAGATCCGAGTGTGAAGCAAGAGCCCCACATACAGATGTGCCTAAAGAACAGTCTCCTGGAAACACTTTGTGAAGGGACCACCTAGGCACTAGAGGCAGCTTCCATACCTGTGTTTTTCTTCCTCCTTTCAGGCTTTGAGGCTGGGGATAGGGCTTAATGGTATGACATTTTCCTGGCATGTCCTTAAAGCCCTAAATTTAATCCCTGGCATCATACTTATGCACACATCCTTGGTACCCATGCAGAGGCCCTGTTGCTGGTCCAGGGCACCTGGTTACACTGAACCTTTGTAGGAGGTGATGCATGGCGACTCTACGAGTATATCACCAGACACTTCATTGCCACAGTGAGCCATGACTGCAAGTATCTCCAGAGCACTATCTCCTTCAGGATTGGGCCTGAACACTTTACATGCATGGGAAAGACAGTTATTTCCCCAGGTACAGTGGCAGACCATGGGGGTCCCTTTCTTCTCATCTGTACAGACCCTGAGATCTCTGGATGGGATGCCCAAGTGGAGACCTCAAATAGCAGTGGTCTCTCTTTAGGCTTCACAGAGATCATGCCTTGGCAGAGCGTGCCCCTGGAAGAGAGTCTGCCCACATGCCAGAAGGGTGATGCCTTCACTGTGGGTGAGGTGAAGATGCTAGAGAAGCAGACAAGCCCGCCAGACTATCTGACTGAGGCTGAGCTCATCACGCTCATGGAGAAGCATGGTATCGGTGGGTACCAGATCTGGGCTCTCCATTCCCGTGGCCTTGGCCAAGAGGTGATGGTACTAAAACTTCCTGTGTTCTATATATACCTGGCTCAGCATGAGGTAACAGATGCTCCAATGTATAACCCATGGATCCAGGCAGACTCACTGTGTAAAGCCACTTACAAGGCCTTATCATCAGGCCTGAGCTGGCCTTCCATATGAAGTGTCATGCAGCCTTGTGCACCATGGTATGGTTACACTCTGACAAGTACCCACCAGACTCAAAAGTTAATCCAGGATTCTGCAGGATTCCTGGGCCAGATCAGCTGCCTCCCGAAATCAGAGAGCTAGGAGGCCTGCCCTAGAATTCTGGTCTGGGCCTACTTCTTCCCAGGGCCTAGGTTCCTAAAGTGAATCCTGACAGTACCCTTGGCCTGCAGCTAAGGTCCCATTGATGAATAGCACAGTGCTAAGAACCTTTTCACGCTCATGACTTGTACTGGACCTAGTGACCAACATACACTTCAATTTGGGACAATGAACAGAGTTTGTGTGTGGCCTCTGAACAGGAGACTGAGGGCAGTGCTGTTGATCAAGGTCCATAGGACAATATAAAAAAGGCTTAACTACCTGGGCATAGTGATTTGTGTCTCTAGTCCTAGCATTTAGGAAGCTAAGAAAGAAAGACTATCTGGAGTAAGACTCTGCATACATACATACATACATACATACATATATACATACATACATACATATGAATCACTATAGCAGCCATACAGGAACTCTTTTATATGCATACGGCCATGATCTGGGCCAATTCCGAACCTTGGCAATGAGCCGTGGAACCTCTGAAGGTTCCTTAATCACCAGTGCCAGGATCTTCCCTGTAAAACCTGCCCAGGTACCCACAGAAAGCTAAGTGTTCCTCTGCCAGAACTCCAAGTGTGCATGCCATACTGAGTTCCTTTTCACACCCTCTGACATCACATTACCTTCCACTTTTCCTTCTCTGTCAAGCTGCATCCCTGGGGTAGGAAGCATGCCTTGGGTATTATGAGGAGCCCTAGAGGACTCAAGAAGGTAGGAGAGAGGAAATGAGTAAAAGCAGCTTGGTTCTACAGTAGCTTTATGAGCTCTCTCTGGTAGAAGTGGATCCTGATGTCTAGAGGGCATATAAGCCACAGTTTCCGGATAGAAAAGACCAACTTGCGTTTACTGGTTTCAGGAAATGCCCTCTGACCTAACATAGTCCTCTCTGGGCCTCTGTTTTTTAACTATAAAACTAAAATACCAATGAAGGCTGTCCTTGGGTTCACAGGTGTGCCCCCAGCACATTGCAGAGACAGCCCTGTTCTATCTTGGGAGTCTGTCTGCATCGTGGCTTCTGACAGCCATATAGGAAATAGCAGTCTGGACCTAATGAGCAAAATAAGCTTCAATGGCAATAAGTTTGTGGCACTATACTCCTTCCTATGGGTGTCTGGGAGGGTTTCTGTGATGGGTAGATAGGACTAGAATGCATAGCCCAGAGCATCTTCTTGGGGCAGGCTGAGGAATGCCCAGAGCCATGCTGTGCATTCCAGGGACTGATGCCAGTATCCCTGTACATATCAACAACATCTGCCAGCGCAACTATGTCACTGTGGAGAGTGGCCGCCGGCTGAAGCCCACCAACCTTGGCATAGTTCTCGTGCATGGTTACTACAAGATTGGTAAGTCTGTCTACCCACCACCTATGGCCTGCTGGCCTCTCCAGCTCCTTCCTGTGTTGTGGCTCTGCTGCCTCCTACAGTGGCCCCATGCTCTGCATGCATTTCCCCAGTCCCCACTGCAGAGGTGATATGGGACTCAGGAATTTGATGGATGAACACATTATAGTGGGTCCAAAAGTAAAACACAGACTTCTTGACAAACCAAACCTTGGGTTCTTCACTAAGACACCCACCAACTCTGCCCACTAAAGTGCCTTATGTTTACGGGAGATGGAGAAGTACAGCATAGACCTGGCCATTCTGCAAAAGATCTCTACACAAACTTTCCTGATGGGAAGTTCAGGAAAAGTCTGGCAGCAATAGGAGCTGCCCTTGCTGCCTTCCAACTCTGTGGACAAGCAGCCCAGGAAGGCTGGGTCAGAGCTAGGTTGAGCGGGACAGCAGTTCTTGCCTGCCTAGTGGGGTGGCAAGGACCTCAGTGCCTACAACAGCATCCACCCACTTGCTCACAGATGCAGAGCTGGTACTCCCCACTATCCGCAGCGCAGTGGAAAAGCAGTTGAACCTTATTGCCCAGGGCAAAGCTGACTACCACCAGGTCCTGGGTCACACCCTGGATATCTTCAAGAGAAAATTCCACTACTTTGTTGATTCTATTGCAGGTAAGACCTGCCTCTTTCCTCCATCAGCAGCTATTCCAACAGGACAGAGCCATCTGAGGCCCACTCCAGATTTGGGCTCTGAGCCTCTACCAGTCATAGCAGTGATGCCTCTTTAGCTGTTGCCGGGATCAGGTTAATTAATATCTGCATCAGGAATATACAAAGCTGATGAGCAGGGCTGTAGCTCTGTACTCTATCACTGATAGAAACAGTCAAACTTGGATCCTTGACCATGCGTGATGGCCTCTTTGTCTAGTTCACCCAGTTTTACCAAGCTACCAAGACTTGTTGGAGGGAGGGCTGCCAAAGACCAGGACAGACATGACCCCTGTGCTCTGCTTGCTCTCAGGCATGGATGAGTTGATGGAAGTATCCTTTTCACCCCTGGCTGCCACTGGCAAGCCCCTTTCACGCTGTGGAAAGTGCCATCGATTTATGAAGTATATCCAGGTATGTGAAGGTTGAAAGACTGTTACCACATCTAGCCAGAACATTCCTGTTCAGATATCACCTTAAACCTCTTCTTTGTCATTAGTCAAGCAGAAATAATGTCCATTGTCACACAGAATGATTAAAAGGCCTGAATCAGCACCAGTAACAACATAAACCACCAGGCCATATACACAGTTCACCATTCACTTTCTTGCTCTCGTGAATATTATTAACATGCTGGGGCTTTACATTTACTCATGTGTGTGTGTGTGTGCGTGTGTGTGTGTGTGTGTGTGAGTATGCCACAACACTCATGTGGAGGTTAAAGGACAATCTGTAGGAGTGAGTTCTCTCCTTCCATCATGTGGGCTCTAGGGATTGAACTCAGGCTTTAGCAGCAAGCTCCTTTACTTGATGAACCATCCACCAGCCGAATGCTGGGGCTTCAGACTCTCTGGCTTTGTGAGGGAAGGAAGAAATGGGAAGTGTGGTAACTGGGCCTCATACCAGTGGTTGAGAGGTCCTTGCCTGGCACTGAATTCTGTCTTCTGTGTATCTGTTAGGTGTTGAGCATTACCTATTCAGTGTTTCAAAGGAAAGGACAGCAGGCAAGAACGTCAGGCCCAATACCCTCATATTCCTTCTTAATGCCCCCATCCCATAGGCCAAGCCAAGCCGCCTACACTGCTCCCACTGTGATGAGACCTACACCCTCCCCCAGAATGGTACCATCAAGCTGTACAAGGAGCTGCGGTGCCCATTGGATGACTTTGAACTGGTCCTGTGGTCCTCGGGCTCGCGGGGCAAGAGCTACCCACTTTGTCCCTACTGCTATAATCACCCACCCTTCCGAGACATGAAGAAAGGTGAGTGTGGCACATGGCTGTCCTCGGGTTCATACTTTGCAGACTCCAATGGGGTCCCTTACCCATCCATCGCTACCTGTGCACACTGGTACTGAATCAGGGACTCTAAGAAATACTGTGCCACTGCTTAGGCACTGGCCAGCCTATCTGGTCTAGGTATGTTTGGGTCCTAATTGAGCAAAAAGCTTGCTCACTTAGGATCTGGGCAGAGAGCAAAATGTGCCCCTCAGGGGCTGGGCTAAGTGAGAGGCAGGCAACCTCAGATAAGGACACCTGGCAAACAAAGAACCCTCGGTTTTCAGCACTGCTGGTTTACACTCTTTGCTGGAAAAAGGAGAGCATGTATCCAGGCTAAGCAGTGCATGCTAAGCCTGGAACCAGAGAGGCTCAGTGCCCCCAGCACATTTACCAGGTGGTACCATCCCTTGTCTCAGACTAGGAGCCAGCACCTTTGTTACCCAAGGCATCCATTAGGAATCCTCAGGGTCTCAGTTCACAAGCATACCACCAAGGTAATGAGGCTCTCTTCCTGCTGCCCAGTGTCTTACAATGTAGCAAGTGAGTGACAGGTGAGCTGAGAGCAACCTGGAAGAGGCATTAATAAGCTACAGAAGCAAATGAGAGTTTAGGGGTCAGCTTAAGTCCCCAGAACATTGAGGACAGAGCATTTTTAGATAAGCAGAGGATCCCAGGCCAGTGAACAAGATGCCCCAAAAGCAGGTTAAGAGTGAGTGCCAGTTTGATCTAGAATAAGAATCCAGCAATCTGACATTGAAAGTAGCCAGAGTTGGGGGAGCCAGGGCATGTTTAGGTCACTGGACTCCTCTCCCTTCAGGCATGGGCTGCAATGAGTGCACACACCCTACTTGCCAGCACTCACTGAGTATGCTGGGCATTGGCCAGTGCGTGGAATGCGAGAATGGAGTCCTGGTTCTCGACCCTACCTCTGGTCCCAAGTGGAAGGTGGCCTGCAATACATGCAATGTGGTGGCACACTGCTTCGAAAATGCCCACCGAGTACGGGTATCTGCCGACACCTGCAGCACCTGCGAGGCTGCCTTGCTCGATGTAGACTTCAACAAGGCCAAGTCTCCCCTTCCTGGCAATGAAACACAGCACACAGGCTGCATCTTCTGTGACCCCATCTTCCAGGAGCTGGTGGAGCTGAAGCATGCAGCCTCTTGTCATCCCATGCACCGAGGTGGTCCTGGAAGGAGGCAGGGTCGTGGGCGGGCCCGGGGCCGGAGACCTCCAGGAAAGGCCAATCCCAGACGGCCAAAAGACAAGATGTCAGCCCTGGCTGCTTACTTTGTATGACAGCCCATCTTTTCCCCACTCCAGACACCTCGTGGTTATCTTTGAGCCACTGAAACCATTAAAATGCTTTTTATTTTTTATTCTCTGGAACAAAAAGCCGGGGGCCTTTTATTGGTGAAACACAATAGTTCCTGTGTGTGTGGAGACCTGTGAGAATCAGCTTTATCCCTCCCTCCTGTTTAAAGTACATCCTGTTCTGCACACACTATGAGAGGGCCAGCAAGAAAACACATCTGGGACTATGGGAACAATGTGTAGCTCACACCACAACTGTAGCTGTGTGCAACACAGCAGGAAGGTGGACATTAGCAACCCAGAGGAGTCTTGGTGAGCCAGGTGGAGCAGGCACCTTTCTCAGACCCTTGCTCAGCACTTGTGGCCTAGCTTCCTGATCCCTAACCCAGATTTATATGACAACCACTCAAACTCCAAGTAGGTTTGGCATGTAGAGCCTGTGTGTGACTCTGGTGACATTGTGGATCTATTTTGACACTCATCATGAGTCTGTTGCCTCAGACAGGTAGCTGAGTTCCTCCATTGAAGCTGGTCAGAAGCCAAGCTTAGAGAATACTTTGTAAGGCAGACTGATCTGTGGTGCAGCTGAGTGTAGCTATGGACCACCTTTCTGACTACAACCCCTGTGGTCACAGGCATCATTGAGAGTTTTAAAGCCCAAGTGATATATCCAGTTTTTGAGAAGAGTGATGGGGCTAGTGTGGTAGGGAGATTGTTTGCATCCACTCTCAGAGAGCTCAGAACAGATTTCTGGAAAAGGATTTAGGGGACTGGGAAAGAGGGCATAGATGGGAGACCTAGCACTGAGACCTCCTGGCTCTACGCCACAGCTTGGTGTACCTTGCTGAAGAAGCACAGGTTTGAACTAAGCTGGTTGGTATAGATAATACTGGGAATTTGACAAGAGTAAAAGCTTTGGTAATAGTGGACTGCTGACAAGACTAACCACGGTGACAGCAACTTCAGGAAAAGGTATATTATAGATATGTCCTCAGCCTAGAGCCTAACAGGCAGGTTCCTCGTGTCTACTTTCACTGTCTTCTCTGTGTATCACCCTCAACCTCATCAGGTTATAAATGGCCTCAAACCTTACTCAGGTTAAATGAATCAAGACCCTATTTCTTGCATAGCAGGCAGACACTCTCCCCACCATGCCAACACACACACACACACACACACACACACACACACACACGATTTCCTTTCAGAACAGCCATCTATTGGTTCTCTAGGCTCATAGCTTCTCTGAAACCTTCCAACCAGTAAAGAGTCTCTAAGTCAACATGGTCTGATGACCATGCTTGTCAGCACAGTTCTGAGACATAAACAACAATTGCTTTAAAAGCCAGGTGACAACCTGGAGCCAACCTTGTCTTTTAGACTGCCTTTGCTACCCAGTGTACTAAGGAAGTGTTTCATTTCCTGGTTTATAGCCTCAGGGCTCAAGCTGCTTATCCAGTTCTCAGTGGCTATGCAGTCCTGCTGAACACAAAGATCCTGGGGCCCTGACCACAAAGGAGGGCCTGTGGCAGGACCACAATGAAACTTGAAGGATACTCTCCACACTGTACACAGGCAGTGTACACGTTCATTGGTATAAAATGAATATAATGTTATACATTAAAATGTTTCCTAAAGAGTTTTATTTCGGGGCTGGAGAGATGGCTCAGCGGTTAAGAGCACTGACTGCTCTTCCAGAGGTCCTGAGTTCAAATCCCAGCAACCACATGGTGGCTCACAACCATCCGTAATGAGATTGGATGCCCTCTTCTGGTGTGTCTGAAGACAGCTACAGTGTACTCATAAATAAAATAAAAAAAAAAAAAAGAGTTTTATTTCCTTTGAATTTCAAAGAAAACAATCCCATGACCCTCTATTTAAAAATAAAACAAACACATGACCCAGCGGAACACACCTCTCCTCTCTGATGTGTGGCCAGTCCTGGACAGTATGGAGCTGCATCCCTGCCCTGCAACTGATCACCACACACGCTGTGAAGCAATGACTGCTTTCTGACAAGCAATGAGCGTTGTGAAGCAAGTACTGCTTTCTCCCTAGTCAAGGCTGGAGAAGTGTAGCAACGCACTGGCGAATAGGGCTCTTGTCTTCCCCAAACAAGAGGGCAGAGGGACCGCCAGGAGGCAGCAGAGGCGCGCCCGAGGCCTGACTGCGCTTGCGCGGAGCCTGCGGCGCCCAGGACGGGAAGTAGATTGAGCTGGCCCAGAGCAGCTCGTGGGGAACGCTGCGGCAGGCTGGCAGGTGAGGCCCACGGGACGCTAGGGATGAGGAGCGAGGGTGAGGGTGGAAGACTCGGACTAGGGTGGGGGTCATGTGGGTGCCTGAGGTGCACGAGAGTGAAATGAGACTGAGGATGAAATGGAGAAGTGAGAAAGCACTAAGGCCAAGACGGGTTTCGGGTGCTCGAGCCCATGGGACTTGGGGATGGCAGTAAGCAAAAGATCCAAGCAAGCCGGCGGGACCCTGAGAAACTGGTAGCAGAGCATAGGGAACTAAAGGCACGGAACTGGAAATCCATTGACCCTATAGGGGTGTGACTGAACTGAGGTCCAGGAGGAGGCGGATAGCTGTGAGGCAAAACAAAGTACCAAGGGGTGACAATCCTGGTTTCAAGGATCTCTCCTTTTACCTTTTCAGAAGCATGTGGGCTAGGCCCTTAGCCCTGCCCTCAGCCCTACCAGTGAAGACCCGGTCTGGGACCACATTTTTAACCTGAATGCCCAGCCCAGTAGCGTCCCTGAGTGTATTTAAAGCTAGTGTTTTCGTTAACACCTGGGATGGAGGCACAGACTGACGCCATTTGACTAGGTTGCAGTAGAGCCTCAGTCCGGAGAGGCTGGGTCTTCACCATTACAGCTGTGTGGTCTCAGGCCAGCTCCTAAGCTCTCTGTGTAATGAGGAGAAAAGGCACTGTAGGGACTTCTGCGGAGACGAACACCTAGTGAGGCCCACTGGAAGGCAGTGGTCTGCTCCACTAAGGCCTTCTGTTTCGAGGCCCTTGATTAACAGATGTGTTCAGTGTGCCCTGGGACAGCACTGTGAACTGTTCCCACATGAGAAACTGAACGAGAGCCCATGGTCTCTATGCTCTTACCCCTCCCGTCATCAAATTTTACTTTTACTCGGCAGCAAACTGTGCGGAAGTGTCCAAGTCACTGGGCACCAGAGTCCTCAACTGAGTCCTGCTTCGGTGATAGCTCATATTTGTGACCTTAGAGTAACACTTTCCTTCTAGAGCCTGGTTTTTTCAACTGCAGTGTGGCCTGATGGCATGTGTTTGTCTGCAGAGTTCTGAGACGTAAACAAAACAATTAATTGTTTGAATAACCGTTAACCTCCCACAACAGATTAATTTGCAGAATTCTTCTGTGATGTCACCTGGAGCCAGCCTTGTTTTGAAGGCTGTCTTTGCTACCCAGTGTACTAAGGGAGAATTTTCATTTCCTGTGTGATAGCCCCAGGCCTCAGGCTACTTACCTCACTCCAGTGGCCATCCAGTCCTGCTGAGCACAAAGGGTCTGGGACACTGACCACATGAAGCTTAGGATCCCTTGAAAAACTACCAAGTTTCAAAAGAAAAAATGGCTGCACAATAATGTGGCTTGATGCCACAGAACAGCCTGTGAGAGATGGTTAAAGTGGGGAGTAGACATGGGCGAGGTGGGCTGCATGTTCAGCATGCACAGGACCTGTAGGCTGAATCTCCAGCATCAGCAGAAAGAAAAATATTGTTTTGTTTTGTTTTGTTTTGTTTTGTTTTGTTTTGTTTTGTTTTGTTTTGTTTTGTTTCAAGACAGGGTTTCTCTGTGTAGTCCTGGCTGTCCTGGAACTCACTCTGTAGACCAGGCTAGCCTCAAACTCTTGAACTCAGAAATCCGCCTGCCTCTGCCTCCCAAGTGCTGGGATTAAAGGCGTGTGCCACCACCGCCCGGCAAGAAAAATATTCTTAAAGTGGGTTTTGGCATTGTTGTTTTGTTTTTTGAGACAAGGTGGCCTCCAGCTCAAACTATAGCTAAGCCTGGACTTGAACTCTATTTTTGACTCTATCTTTGACTCTATATTTGACTCTATCTCCCACGCACTGGGATTGAAGGTGTTCGCCACCACGTCCAGTTTTACAGGTGAACACAGGACCTGTGTCTTCAAGGCAAGTATCTACCAACTAAGCTCTCCTCCCAAACCTTCCTCCACGTTCTTGTTCTTTGGGTTTTGATTGTTTAGGGGAGGGTGTTTTAATTTTTGCTTGGTTTGGTTTGGGTTGGGTTTTTTTTTAAGACAAGGTTTTACTCAGTAGCCCAGGTTTTCCTTCAGTTTCCCAAGTGGTAGGATTATAGGTGTGAACCACCATGCCAAGCTAAAGTGATAGTTTTTAATGTATACTTTGCTACAATATTTATAATAAGCATTCAAAAATATAAATAAAATCTTTTCCATGTGTGTAGTAAAAGATTGTTTAAGATCTAGAAGGATTTACACCAAACTATTTCTAGAAGCTAGTTACAAATAGGGAAATAAGAGCTCTGGGGAGGAGGAGGCTTGGGGTAAAACTCTATGCCAGACTGCTTGCCTAGCATACATGATCAGTTCCAGCACCACATACACCAGATGTGTGCACACCTGTGATCCCAATACTGGCAAGGAGGAGACACAAAGATCACAAGTTCAGAATCTGAAGAGCAACTGCTAGCTCATACATAGAGAGAGGCACAAGTCCCAGAACCAGGAGGAACCAGCCAAGTGTCAATTTAGCCAAACCAATCAAGGCAGTGCAGCCCTGCTTAGTGACTTGCACACACTCATGCATGTGTCCCTCTCTGAGTCTTTTGCAACTATATGGATGCTGTTGAAATCAAACAGTTCCTCTGCCCTGTGCCCAGCACTTCTGCCCACCCATGCTTCTCCCCAGATTCGTTTGTCCAGCTGACCAAACCAGCTAGCTACCACTTCCCATCCAGCCATCCCGGTGGGGCCATGCCCTTCACCAGTTCTTTCTGCCACAATCATATCCTTTCTCTCCAGGTTACGGGCTTTAGAGCAGGGTTGTTTTGCCCTTAGAAAGGCATGCATCCACTCTTAAGAGTTTCTGGGAAAAAAAGGAAAATGGAAAAGAATATTACTCATTTCCTTTGCCTCAGCTTGACCCCAAAGAAAGAAAACTGTGACCTGGTTCTTCATTTGTGTCCCAAGCCACACAATGTGAAATGAGTCTGAGTGGCCGCAGCAGACAATGTCTCTGAGGATACTGCCTTTCTAGTACAAGTAGACAGTACATCCAGGCCCTGTAGGCCAGCAGATGCAAGCAGAGCCTTGCACAAGACCATGAGCATGGTGTTGTGCTGTGCTTGGCACCCAGGCCCACTCACCATGCATGGTGCAGATAGCCTTGGGGCCCATAACAGGTCCTGAGCCTGTAGCACAGGCACAGGGAAGTAAGAGCAGTATAGCCAGGGACATTAAAGGTTTTCTAGTCCTGCAGTGCAAAGATGAGCCCAGCCTCCACAGAAGACAGGTAGACTGTGGGAAGGGATCCAGATCCAGGAAGCAGCCCAAGAGCAAAGGTTACAGAGAGGCACCTTACTTCTAAAACATCCAGCAGAGATAGTACCAGGTAGGATGATGTTGTGGGTTCTCTGTGTACTCTGAGGTGTGAACATGCTGTCTTCTTGCTATGGTTTCACATTAGCCCGTTTAGCACTGCTGCGGGGTTTGGTACCTCTAGGGCCTGTAGAATTGCAAGGAATAAATATCCAAATGCTTCACAGTAGTCACACTTCTGCAGTTGGTGGGTAGGGTACGATGTGACACTTGGCCTGGTCCTCTCAGAAATTAATGCCACCTCTCTCGCTCTCCAGCCCTACCCAGGGCTCCCTCTCTTTTCTATCTTACCTTTGAGTAGATTGCATCTACCTGGTTCCCATCCTGCTCTTTCCTTCTTTGCTTTAATTACATGCTATCTTTTTACCTGCTTGGTCTTTGTAACCCAAGCTACACTTTATTAACTTTATTAAATCTGAATGCAGACAGTGAATTTTAACTCCAGCAACATAACCTTCAATAAAAAGTACTATATCTATAGTTTTGTTTATTTACAAAGCTTCTTTTAACACTTGGATATGGCCCAGGGAAATAAACACTGGGAAAAGGTAACCCCCCACCCCACCTCCAAGAGTGGCCCAGGGAAAGAGAAGCTACCTGAAGGAAAGGAAGCAAAAAGGACAAGCTGCAGAGTCAAGACAAAGGGAAGTACTGGGGTGGTGAGCACTCTCGGAGGAGAGGAGACTGGTAGGACTGACTCCATACCCACACACAGAGGACGGGAAGGTTGAAGTGAAGCTCTGCGGTCCTCCTCCTCCTCCTCATTCACCTCTTTCTGCTTCTGCTGTCTGATCTCCAGTTCCCTCTGTTTGCAAGAGCAGCAGAAAGCCTGTCACCTCTCAGTCCCTTAAACTGAGTTGTGCCTTACTACTCTCCCGGATGAGCTCAGGCTGGCTACTGTAGACCCTGCCTCTGCCACATCCCTTCACTCTGTCCAGTGTTGGAGGGTGTGTGGGTTTTTGACACAGGATCTCCATCTGTAGCTGGGTCTAACTTGTCAATTGCTATGTAGACCACAATGCCTTCAAGCTTGCAGCGACCCTCTTGCCTGTCCTTCCTGAATGCTGGAATTATTGGCAGGTGCCAGCATCAGCCTATGGCTTCTTTGTATGTATCTTTTTAAAACAAGTTAGCTCTTGATTCCAGCCTTTGAAAGAAAGGAGACGTGTTGTTTTTGCTTATCACTTGTATCAATTACTTTTCTTTCTTTCTTTCTTTCTTTTTTTTTTTTTCTTTTTTTTTTTGGTTTTTCAAGACAGGGTTTCCCTGTGTAGACCTGGCTGTCCTGGAACTCACTCTGTAGAGCAGGCTGGCTTCAATTACTTTTCTTGTTAAAAAAAAAAAAATTGACAAACCACCAATGGTGGCCCAGGACTTTAATCCCAGCATTTGGGAAGCAGAGGCAGGCAGATCTCTGTGAGTTCCAAACCAACCTGGCCTACAGAGCAAGTTTCAGGACAGCCAGGGCTGCACAGAGAAAGGGTATCTCAAAAACAAATGACAAAAGCAATTTAAAGAAAGAAGGGGTTTTTTTGGTTTTAAGGAATACAGGCCATGGTCTCAACACAATCTCGGGAAGGGAGCTGGTCATATTGTGTCCATAGTCAGGCAACCTGAGATGGATGCTGGCCTCAGCTAATATACTTCCATTATTTAGTATGGGGCCCCAACGATAGAATGGTACCACCCACAGTTGGCCTTCCCACTTCAGTTAATGTAACCCAGAGAATCCCTCACAGACATGGCTTGTCCCTTCAGTAATTGTAGGGCCTGTCAAGTTGACAGTATTCCTGTCACACCATACCTTTCCTTTTATACCCTGAGTACTACTGCGTAACATGATACTGGAACCCTTCCTTCATCTACTTCTCTCTTTGTATTTTGTTTAGTTTTGTGTTATTAGAAACAGAGTCTCATGTGTTCCAGGTTGACCCATGACTGTACGTAGCCCAGCATAGTCTTAAGCTCTTATCCTCATGTCTCTACCTCTCACGTGTAGGAAAGCAGGTGGACACTATCATACCTGGTTTATGTGGTACTGGGACTGAACCCGGGGCCTTGTGCTTGCCAAGCAAGCAGTCTGCCAGCTGAGAGGGCTCCCCATCCCCTCTGTCTTCTACTCTTATTTCACTTGTTAGAAGTTAGTGACCTACATGACAGTAGCCTTTGCTGCAGTGTATTCTTTGAGCTCTGATTAGTTCTTGAGAATTTCCTCATCTGTCTGTCTCACATCTAAGCCCTTGCTTCTGGCAAAGTTTGGAGGCACCATCTGTGGTTGTTCCAAGTCTGATGGTTCTAGAAGTCTTACCTTTCTTTCTGCCTGGTTCGTTTAGTAGTTAGGACCTGAAAGGCCTCCAGAGGGAGTTGGACTCTGAAGCTGCTCTCCAGGTTCTCCTGCCTAGAACTTAGGGCACTCAGAATCTTCTATCCATTTTATCACCGTAAGAGTGCCATTTGTTTCCTCTGATGGTAAACACACTGGGCTCTTTCCTAATGGAAGTCCCTGAGCCAGAATATTAAGTAGAGCCCTCAGAGGTGCCACATCCTTGAAGGGTAAAGTGAGTGTGCAGCCACACTAGCCCTGGAGTACCCCTGACAAGAAGCACCAGCTGCAGACAGGCCTGTGTGAGCAGATACTGCCAGGAAGGTTATCTGCCCAGGTGTAGTGGAAAGTGGAGCTTTACTCCAACACCAGAGAGAGCAAGGCGAGAGAGGGACCAAAGCACATCACAGGAGGTCATAAAAGAAAGGCAGAGGGCTGGAGAGATGGCTCAGCGGTTAAGAACACGGACTGCTCTTCCAGAGGTCCTGAGTTCAATTCCCAGCAACCACATGGTGGCTCACAACCATTTGTAATGGGATCTGATGCCCTGTTCTGGTGTGTCTGAAGAGAGCAGCAGTGTACTCATATGTATGTATATGTGTATACATCATATACATATATGTGTGTGTGTGTGATAAGTATGTATATGATAAATAAAATAAATAAATAAATCTTAAAAATTTTAAAGAAAAAAAGAAAGAAAGGCAAAAAGGGCTGATATTACCAGGCTTGCCTTGCATGCATGAGACCCTGGGCTCAATTTCCAGTACCACACCTAATTTGCTTTGTCTCCCAAATAGTTCTGCGCTGATGGCCACTGTGTATTAACTCTTCTGTTTTTCTACCATCTTTATAGCCTGGAGATATAGATGTAAACATACATACATACATACATACACACACACATGAATGTATGTTTGTTTGTATATATACATACAAATACCTCTTTCTACCAGCTGATCAGTTATTGTCATCTGGTTGATCCCTGTTACCTACCTTGATGACCAGGTCCTGGTATCCCTGTCCTGCTTGCCTCTGGTGATACCTGTCACTCTGCAGGGAACATGCATTCCCTCTGTCACTTCTATGAGATGTCTTCATGGCCTGCTTCTGATACCACCTCCTGAGGATATTCCCTAGGAATGCATGTTTCTCCTTGTGAACCCATCTTTGTTTCTAAATGGGATTACATTCCATTAAGTGTGTCCCCTGAGCCGTGAGGCCCAGTGCTTGAGTAAAGAGACAAACAAGGCAGGACATGTGCACTCCATGTCACACAGCTGTCATCCTGTGATATTGCTAACTCTGACATTTCTCCCCAGAGTGAAGACTTGACTGGAGACCATCTCTTGCCTAGCTGCAAGCCCCCCGGAATGCACTGGGCATGGCCTCTGGAGCCCCACAAAACAGCAGCCAGATGGCCTGTGACAGAGAGATCCCAGGCTTCCTCAACGCACTCCTCCAAGACTTCCCAGCCCCACTGAGCCTGGAGAGCCCTTTGCCATGGAAGGTCCCAGGGACAGTCCTGAGCCAGGAAGAGGTGGAGGCGGAGCTGACCGATCTGGCAATGGGCTTCCTGGGCAGCAGGTAGGCATGGGCTACCTCAAAAGAGCTTGATGGACAGGAACAGGATGCAGCACTGCCCATCATGTGCTGATGTTGTGCCTACCTAGGTCTCATGAGAGAACATGGTCAGCCCTCAGCTGTACATTCCAGTAGAGCCTGAAAGTTCAGAGAGTGGTGGGCCCTGTCACCCAGTACTGTCTCCTAAGTAAATGATCAGCAACACTAGACCATGCCACTTTGTCTTTCATTTTTACAGATAGAAGACTCATTTGGACAGGAGGTATTTATAGATTTCTTTTATTTCCTTTCCTTATTAGGTGGAGAACTTCCACCATCTCATTTAAAGGAAATACTTTATGCTCTCTCTTCACCATCTGAATGCAACATCTTACTCCTGTGCTTTGTAGCTACTGCTAAATAAAGTGAGGCTCCTTCGGGCACTGTGGTACTAAGACAGCTGCTGAATGACTACTGGGCAGGTGCACTGGACAGACATGACTACCATTCCCCATAGGACAAGCACATAGATAAGTTTCTATCCTGCTACTAAGAATCTCAGAACAGTGCACAGTTTTAAAGTTATTTATTTCTTATTTCTGCAGTTGGCCTTTTTTTTTTTAAACTTATTTCATTGTATGTGCATGAGTGTTTTGCCTGAATATTTGGATGCGTACCACTTGCCTGCCTACAGCTGGTTGTAAGCCACCCTGTAGGTACTGGGTACAGAATCAAAGTCCTTTAGAAGAACAGCAAGTGCTCTTAACCACTGAGCCATCTCCAGACCACACAGTTTCAATGAAATGTTTTCAACCCATTGTTTAAAAGTAATTGCAGTAACAGAAAGTTTGACTTAGAGATAAGGATGCTCCTGTGTAGATATCCTGTGGCCACATAACAAAGTACTGTAGTCTGGGCAGCTGAAACACAAGTTCATCCTTTGACAGGTCTAAGGGCCAGAAATCCAAAAGCAAGATATGAACAAGGCCTCAGTTTGTCGAAGGCCATGGAGGCTGTTCTAGGCCTGTCTCTGGTTGTAACTGCTTTGTGTTGCTTGGCTTACCGACTCACATCTCTGGGGACTCTTCTCCCTGTCTGTGCAACCTCGCTTCTTTTTTAATTTACTTTATATGGGAATGCACAGCATCCACATAAGGACCAGAGGAGAATCTTGGGTATCAGTTCACCTTTTGTTTAAAACTGTCCCCCAATGGCCTGGACCTTCACCATGTAGGCCGAGCTAGTTGGTCCCTGAATTTCTAGGGCTACTCATGTTGCTGCGTCCTGCTGCACCGTCACTGGGATTGCAGATGTGCACCCTGCACTCAGATTTTTACATGGCTTTTGAGGATCTAAACTCATGTCTTCATACTCAGGAAAAAAAGTGATTTGCTGATTGAGCTTTTTTTTTCTTTTTGATCTCCTTCCTTGACGGATACTGGTCATAATAGATATGGGCTAGAGGCCGCGATTCCACAGCATGACTGCACTCTACTGTAACTGCATTTATAAAAACTTCAGTTCCAGATTAGTCACATTCTGGGACTGGCTCTTCATGTCTTTTGTTGAGGGGTACACAGTTGAGCCCAGTCAGGTGCTCAGCTGGAAGTCCTATTTCTGTCCGTTTTGTAGGCAGAGGTAAGTGGGCTATGAGACTGCCTTCATAGTCTGGACAAGGCCAGGCTACATGGCTCTCCAAGTCAGGAGACAGGCGGTATAAAGTAACTTATCCTCAGGGTGGGAAAAAATTGGATATGTCATGGTCAGAAGCCTTGAGTACAGGAAGTGAGGGGAAGGCTCCTAAATTCTGCCTTCCTAAAAGGAGACAGCAGGAGAAAGCAGCCACTGAATCTAACACATCTATGACAAAGGGCATTGGTACCTGCAGGGCTCAGGAGTGTCCAGAAAGAAAAACCAAGCCCAGAACAGGGAAAGGCACCTGCTGGGATGGCGAGGACACATATTCTAGGCTAGGAATAAGTCCCTGAAGCCTGGGGCAGTGCAAGGCTTCTAAGCTACAGCATCGGTCCCCAGGTGTAGGTGGTACAGAAGAAGGACTTTCCTGGGGAGACCTGGATGGAAGGAGCTGGTGCTGCTTTACAGCAGTGAAATGGGAAGAGAGGTAAGGCACTGACAGTTGCTAGCAACAGCAGAGCTGGGCTGAGCAGGAATGATGAGGGTGGAATGCCAAGCCCCAAGTCTATGGAGCTGCATGTGATAAAGGAAGGACCAGGACTCATTTGAGGTACACACTCAGAGTCAATGATGGACCAAAGCCTATGTTCAGCACTGGGTGGGTCAAAAGATTCTAAACGCCAGAGGAGCTGGATAACACTATGGAAGCTGTCTTCCAGACACAGCAGCACTGGTGCACATGTGAACTCAGAGAGACTATGGCTACATGCACAGGGTCTAGACAGGTTCAAGCCAGACAAGGTCCCAACACTGAGAGGGGGAAGTGAGCACAGACTCCCATCCCTAACCAAGAAGCTATCTCAGTTGACAACCACATGCAAAGGAAAAATTGGTTTTCTCTGAGGGAGTCTCTCTGAGTATATAAAACACACTTAAGGGTGGACCCCAGGCCCAACTATAGATGGCCAACACAACAGTATTTTTGAAGATTTTCTCTTTATCTCATATTGCTTTGTATGGGCATTTTTTAATCTTTAGGTGTTGTTTTATTTTGTTTTTACTTGCCTGTTTGTTTCCTAAAGTGATAGAGAGACAGAAAGCAGTGGAATGGATGGGGAGGAGATTGGGAAGAAGAAACCATGGTCAGAATATTGTATAAAGATTTATCAATTAAAACAACAAAGAAAATGGATAAGTATACCATAAAAATGTACAAGCCAGGCAGTGGTGGCACACGCCTTTAATCTCAGCACTCGGGAAGCAGAGGCAGGCTAATCTCTGAGTTTGAAGCCTACACGATACAGTGTGAGTTCTAGAACAACCAGAGATACACAGAGAAACCCTGTCTCAAAAACACAAAGACAAAAAAAATTCAGTACAAGGCCCAGCATGGTGGTGCACGCCTTTAATTCCAGCACTCAAGAGGCTATCTCTGAATTCCAGGCCAGCTAGGTTTACAAAGTGAATTCCAGGACAGCCAGGGCTACACAGAGAAACCCTGTCTTGTGGGATTCGGGGATGGGAATTAATACAATATTATACTGAATATATTTTTCAACTGTCCAAATGGATTTTGTTCTAGCATTTTCTCCTATGTGTGAACATGGGTATGTGTCATCATTATCTGTGGTATGAGCCTCATAGATAATCTGTGTCATATACAGCAGTTCCCATGCATTCACATTCAGACATGTACACACACATGTGCACATACATATACATACACATAGTCATTTTGTGCCTCACAACCCATCTAGAGTTCTGGCTGTAAAGAGCTTCTACTACATTGATCCACTGGTTCTTTTTTCAGATTTTTCACTGGTGTTTCCTCTGAAACCATCTAGAAGTCTGAGCTCCAACCTCTGGGCTCTGGGCTCTGCACACTCCTTCTCCTTTCTTCTCCATTTATTCTGATGTCATTGACACATCTTTAGGTCCCTGAGCAAAATATAAAACTTACATTGTAATTATCTAGATGTGGTTTCATCCCCTGTTACAGTGTAGGCACCTAGCAACCCTCGAGGAGGGTACTTCCTGGGTCCAGCATCCTCTAGCTAAGTTTAAGAGCTCCACTCCCACAACAAGGATCAGGGCTGACATTCTTGGTGTGATGACAGGACTGAAGGCCTCCAGACACATTCATGGGTGGGTCTCTGCAATAAGGCAGAAGCCTTGTCCAGGAAGGAAATGATGATGGCTGGAGGCCAAGCATTGTCTGTGTCTCTGTAGAGGGAAGCCGCCTCCCTGCTCCCAACAGCAGAAGCAGCCAGTGGGCAAAAATCTTAAGTATGACCTCATCAGCACAAGTGAGCAGGTACCCTTTCCATGCCCCTAAATGGAAAACCCAGTGCCTGGCAGGAAATTCCACAAAGCAGGGAACTCATTCTTGGCTTACTCACTATGTACTCTTCTTTATCTGTGGCTGAAGATATGGCAAGCTAGGCAAGTGCTTTACCACTGAACTGCACCCCACTTCAGCTGGTTGTTTTCAAAGCCTCTTCCAGAGGCCTCTCCCTAAGTAACTCTCTCTTTTGAAAAATTCAGCTGATTGTACAGTTCCACAGACTGTTAGTAGCAGAGCCTAAAATCTCAACTACTCAAGAGGTTGATGCAGGAGGATTGAAGGCTCTGGCCTGCCTGGGATCTAGGGTAAATGGAAGGCCAGCCTGAGTGGCTCAAACAGTAAAAAGAAAGCTGAGACAGTGACAGACTTGCCTGCAGGAGTCTCTGTGGTCAGTTCCCAATTCTCTAAAACCAAAGGCCATCAGTAGATGGTCAGTCCCCTTAGGATGTGACTCATCAACCAGGCTCTTCGAAGGTGATTGTTCTCATTAAAGCCGAAGTGTTAGCCTAGCATGGTGGTGTGTGACTGTAACCCTTAGCACTCTGCCTAAATAGGCAAAGGTAGGAAAGAGTCAGCCTTGGCTACATAGCAAACTTGGGACCAGCCTGGGCAACATGAGACATTGTGTTAAGAAAGAAAAAAAGAAAGAAAGAAAGAGAGAGAGAGAGAGAGAGAG